CAATATAGCGCGCGGTCTCGGATTATTGAAAGGATTTGAAATCGCGCGAAAAGCTCAACATCGGGGAACGGGTGAAGTCGCTATATCACAACGCGCTCGTTCTCTGGCGGCGCCGCAAAGTCGTTCGTCTTACGCGAGTGCCTTATTATGCCCGTCCGAGGTTAACGCCGTTCTTATCCTTGCATGTGAGCCTTTGGGTCAGGAAGCATTAGACGCGCTTTAGCAGATGTGAGCTCGCTGCCGTGCCGGAATAAAGCTCGCAAATGGACGAAAAAAGTGGTCGCGCGATAACGCGCGCGCGCGCGCTTTCCTTTTCCCGCCGGGGTGTATTCACTGCCCTCTCTGGTGACGCGCTCTGCCTCTCTTACCCCCTTCGTCAACCACCCCCTTGGTCTTCGCTCCATTTCCATGCCACCGTCACATTAGGCTGCTGGCATTTCCATTTCCATGAAACGTGCGTCCTAGTCGTCGTCGTCGTTGTCGTCGTCGTCGTCGTCGTCGTTTGCACGAGACTGCTAACGGTAGCGAACAACGACGTGACGTTGAATAAAGATTGCGCCTATGTGGAGTCATCGATGTTGTTTAATTCTCGAACCATTGTGCCAATGACCGTTTGAAAAAAAAAAAAAAAGAAATCTCTGTGATTGATTGCGACGACCGAAAAACACACACGTTTTCATTTGCCAGTTAGGTACGCGATATCGATAGATAGAGGAGAAAAAAGACCGCGCGTACATAAATTGACGCGCTTGTGCGAGACATGCGAGTGTTTATTCCGCTGAATTTATTCGGAGCAGCACCGTTAAGCTCTCGGCGAGAAGAAGTTGAATTTTCTGCGTGCAATTTGCATAATTCATAAAGATAAAAGCTTCCGTAACAATTGTGCAATGAAAATAAATTATCGAGTTGACCAAGATGTTTAAAGTTCCTCTCCGTAAAATTTTTCCTGATTAAAATCACTTCTCGAGAGAGATTAATACCTTAAGAGAATACGATTTGCGCGAGATTAAAGGTGCGCCATTATAACAACAATAAGCGCATTCACGAGTGATGAAGAGATGATACGGCCGAGAAGAAGATCAAAGGGTATGTTTTGAGATTATGAGAAAAAGAAAAAGAGAGAGAGAGAGAAAAGGAGAGCGCGAAAGAGAACACGGATATTCTATCGAGAAAACATCGCCTTTCCTTGAGAAGAAGAGGTCGCGTTTTTCTCTAGACAATATACTCTTAGTACTGTCAATGTAAAGATTTGCGCTACCGTCATTTGCATCGAAACACGGTCGTAGCTTTTGCCGAGAGAGAGAGAGAGAGGGGGGGGGGGAGGAGAGGAGAAGAAAGCGGGCGAGAGAGGAGTCGAGATTATCTTCTTCCGTGATATTACTAAAAGTACATCGATTCTGTCGTGTAAATACAAAACTGTCCTCGCAAAGGCTTTGATATTGTCAAGGTGAGATGTACACAAGGTTTTTTTTTTTTTATACTAACGATGATTTTGTCCCTTTCAGCTGCAATTTCTTTGTTGTCTCTGCTTCTTTTTTTTTTTTTTTATCGTTTCTTTAAAATAAAGCGTAATCGTCGTAAGTAGAGTTTTTTACGCTTTATATTCATCTTCCGACAGTCAAAAATATAAAAAATTATGGGAAACAGAGAGAAGAAGAGACACTACAAGTCTTTTTTTGTAACACGTATTGTATTTTATCGTAAACATTTTATTTTTTTTTTGTATATTGTGTTTACATGCACACGTCTTGTACACATAGACGGCTAAAAGCATAAGGATTCGTGGATTATTTGTTTTTCTACCGTTCTTGTCGGTACACTCCTCTGCTTTTACGCGCAGTTTTTTTTTTTTTTTATATTGCGAAGACACATTTCAAAACTACTAGTTTCGAGCTTTATCTCCGCTGAAAGCTTTATTTCCGTTCTTGAAGAAAACGCTACACGCATCACGAAATTCAGACAAGTGCAGATGTCTGCGTTCGTCTCTCTCTCTCTCTCTCTCTCTCTCTCTCTCTCTCTCTCTCTCTCTCTCACAGGCCTTTTGTGTTTGAATTTTTTGATTATCTTCAGATCTGGTTTTTTATTCGTCTATGTAGTTATGAAAATCATATTTTCACGTTCTTGTGCAATCGTGATTGCGTATAGTGAATATTATTATTTGAATTATCGTTTAAGTTGCTATAACTATTTATTGTGCGTGTTACACAACTTAATTAACGACGTAACAGTTGTTATTTATCTGTTCTGCTTCTGTGCTTTTCTCGGCGATCACGAGCTTTGAAGAGATATTTTTCTCTTTCTCTTTCTCTCTCTTTCTCTACTTCTCTTATCAATACCTTTTGTTTTTATTGTAAGATCAACTGTGAAAAAACAATGTGTTTTATCAAAAACACATTTCTAAGTTGATTATCACCGGTTGTGTTATTTGTTTCAAAGATTATTTCTTTTTTATTTGAAAAAAAAATTTGATAAAAAAACATATAATATAGCAATTTATTCTACAAACCGATGTTTTCAACGCGTCAAATAATAGAAATAACAGACATATGATCGTCGTTCTTTTCTCAAAATAAAAAGCGCTCGTCGTCATTGACGTACAAATCGAAGGTACATCCGCTTTTTTTTTCTCTCTCTCTCTCTGAACGTCTTAGCTTCACGCGCGAATAAATATTTCGAAATAGGTTGAGCAATTCAGACGACGATTGCGACGCCCGTGTGAGAATCAGCTCGTCGAATAGATAATGTGTCGCAAGAGAACACAGATTCTTTCCTTTCCTCCGGGTTTCTCGCCAAGTTTTCGGTACATCTGCTAAGCGCATTACGGGATAAAGAGAAAGTTTCCGGTCTTACTGATGCTCGTCGGAAAAGGCATACACTCTACAACGGATTTCTTCATTGCTCTTACGCCTCGGGCGTCTTACGTGTCGCGTATCCGCGACGTTGGATTTATGATTCATAGCTCGTTTTTTTTCGAGTACCGCTATGAATCACGCAAATACGTCTTGTTCTTTCAAGATTTCCATCAAACATAAAAAAAAAAAAAAAGAAAAAACAAATAAGAAATTTTTCCCTTATCGCCGTTATATATTTGCAATATTTCTTTTTCTTCGCTTCGAGATCTCTCTTATTTCTCTTATATTTCTTTAAATATGCAAGAGAAAAAAAAGAGAGAAAGAGGAGGAAGAAATATAGAAATATTAATTGCACAGAAGTTTGAAGAAATTTTTTTATTTGTTTGCTCTGGATTTGTTTGTTATTTGGTTAGTTAGAAACGCGAAAGTCTGCGCGACGGCAAGATCTTTCGCAAAATATTTATATTCGACAGTAAATCAGACATTCCGCCGTCGTTTTCTGAAAAACGCGACGGAATATACTCAGAACATCCATTTTGCCGAGTTCGTCGCCAGATAGTAAAGAACCGTGGAAACGGCGTTTCCTATGTGAGTGGTGTAGCGCGCGTGATAAAACGCACAATATTTCCCTATCATGCGAGCGCGGTTGGCCGGAATAAATTAAGCGCGTCCTTGCAAATTTTCGGAAATGCCGGTGGCGAGTCCTGTCATATAATGAAGAGCTACAGCGACATTAACATTCTGCATTGCCGGAGAGAGAGAGAGAGAGAGAGAGGAGAGAGAGAGAGAGAAAGTGAGGGAAAAAGAGAGAGAGAGAGAAAAAGCGGTCATCGTAATGCTACGCGCTTATGTTTCACGCGGTTAGCGCGTTCTGCAGTCGGAAATAGCGGCGAGCGAAAAACGCGCTCAACCGTGAATAATCACCGCGCAAATCCCTCGCGATTTATACTTCGTTTCGTATTCCTACCGTCCTCGCGACGACTAAGTCCCATTCAAGTTTGATAAGTAACTAACCCCTTTGCCGCGCGAGAACTTCTTCATCGCAACAAAAAGCAGAAAGCAATTGAAGGGGTTGAACACGCACGAAATACTCGACAGATGAGTTAATTATTAGATGTAATTGTGTGGAAAGAAACCACATAAATTCCCATCGTTTCATTTATCAAACCGTTTCGGTCGGGAAAAAAACAAGACGGATTATGAAGGCGAAGACAAATGCCATTCTCGTTTCTGATTTCTTTTTCTCAAGATACAACGTCTTCTTCGGATACGCGCACACAAAAATTGATGAAAAGAGAAAACTTGTGTGCAAGTTCTTTGTTCGAAACTTTAGATTGCGTCCTCACGCACGATCCGAATGAAGATACGCGTTTCAATAGATTTTGTTTTACACTCACGCACACATACACACACATCTGTATAGTAAACTACTATATGTACTCTATTTAAATAACAACATAACAGAAATCCAATCACTTTGTTATCACATCACGATTCGATTGCACTTGGAAAATTTTTCTACTTTTACTAATTATCGAAAAAATTGTATAAAAATTAGATTAGTAAGAAATATATTACACTCTTACGAAACCCAATTATTTTACAATATTTTACGGATATGTCTTACTTTCAAGAAAGAGAATTATGCAGAATTTAGTAAAATATGTATTATCTCTTTCTCTCTTCTTTCATTTTTGTCGCTATGTACGTGTGTCCGCGCATGGAGTTAAAATCATCTTCTGAAAAGTACTTAACTTTGACTTTTGCAGCAACACGGCTATCTTCATACAAACGTGGTCGTTTGATCGTTTGAGAACGCAATTTCGTCGAGGGGTTTTTGATCGCCCTGCAGAAATCGCTCCGAAGCGACGGAGGAGGGGAAATGGTTTTCGTATTTCACAGAGAGATGAGGAAGAAACAAAAAGAGAGAACGGGCCGCGACAATCCAAGTTTCAAAATTGTTAATCCATGGCGCGCGCTCGCTCGCTGATGCCGAGTTTTCCCGGACTACAGGATTAACTTTGTTCTGCTGTGATAAGTAACGACCGACGTGCTGGCGGAGAATCTCGTTTCTTCCTCTCTTCCCGCGCGGGGGCGGGAAACTCGCTGTTCGGCGGCACACGTGTGCACGTAAAAGATCGTACTCACCATTGAGAACGTGAACCGCGATGGTGGTCTTTGCCTTGCCGGGTACCATGCAGCTATAGTTTCCGGCATGCCTCGGGCTGGCTCTCTCTACGATAAGGGTACTGACTATCACGAGAACCTCCTTGCCCGCTGTGATCTCCATCGTCCTGTTCTCGCTGGAAAATGAAATCGAGAGAGCCGTGAATTTCTGTCCACAGTTTGCATACCGCGGTGACACACGGAATTCCGCGTGCACGAGGACGTTTCTTCTCTTTCTCCTCTCTCTCTCTCTTTTTCTATACAGATATGTAGATATCATACATATGTAGATACATGTATGTATATGTATACGTTTATATATATCTTGTTTTTCTATAAAATTCTTTGTTCAACATTTTTATTCGGAATAAAATCGACTCTTTTATTTTTACTGCGTAAGAATCGAGCGTTGACCCCGAGAGCCCCGGCTTATTTCGGTTTTTTTCAAAAAGTAAAACTTAATTGTCGTAAAAATTCGAATTTTTCTGTGCGCTATTTCTCTCGTATTTTGTTTTTAAATAATTCGTCCGTATAATCTACAGTTTTTCTATATATAAATAACACAAAGAGAGTGTGGCGACAGAGGAGATAGAAGAGAAAAAAAAGATCGCCCGGAATGGCAATTCAGTGGTAAATGCTCTATCAGGTGGTCGTGAGAAAACGTCAGAACGACTTATCGAAAGCGATCGCAACTGTCGCGTTCGAATCGAAGGAGGGAAGAAGGGGAGAACGGGGGGGAGGGGGGGAAACAAGCAACGGCAATACGGAGCAATGGCTTGCCTCGAGCACTTACCTAACATCCTCGGTGAGCGTCTCATCTCCCCTAGTCCAAACGACGGACTCGTTGAGCGATTCGAGCACGTCTCTGGCCTCACACCTGAGCCTGAGGATACTGCCCGCCTTCAGATGCCTCTCCTTGGAATAGATACGCCCGGAATCGTCGCTGATTGTTAGAGTCGGTGCTGTAACACAGATCGAGAGAACACACGCGTGTTGCACCATAAATCGTTCTTGATTGGGGAGTTTGCTTCGTGTTGCTTCATAATAAACTAACACACAGAGCACTCCTGTGTTTCAATTTCCTTTCTTACGAGGTTACTTGCGAGGTGTGATATATCTAATTAATAGCGCGTATTTGTTGTGTCTGTGGTAAATTGAAGTAAATGTACAATATCGAAAAAAAAATCAAATTACAGAAAAATAAAAACACCTCGCGTATCAGTAAATACAAATTATTTACTGATACGCGCGAGGTGTTTTTATTTTTCTGTAATTTGATGAATGAGAGTAAAACAAATGAATGAGAGTAAAAAAAAACCTCGCGTGAGAAAAGAATTCACTAAAACTCTACTGTTGTTTTTTCCCATAAAGAAAGAGAGAACGCAACAGCATCAGGAATTATATCTATCTACTCCCGCGTCGGTTAGACGAACGTGAAAGAGAAACGTATCAGTTTGAGATTACGTCGTATCGCCCATAGCGATAGAAGATGTTGACAAAAAGATCCGTTTCTTCGCTACGGAGCGGACGTTTGTTCACACGTGAGTTTTCAAAAGTAAAAAGAATCGAGACTGTTCGCGTGATCAGATGCGTAAAACACGTTACAGAAATATACGTGCACATATCGATCCGGGGTTTTTTTTTTTTTTTTTTGGAAAGATATGGAGCACGTTCGAAAGAAAATAAAGAGACAGTCTTGCAAGCAGAAGAATGGCGAGCGAGCTCGTTGTAAAAATTCAAGTACAAGTAGCAGAGATTCTCAAGCTGCTATGCAAATTTGATGACACCACTCGTCCCGATACTTCTCTTTCTTGACTGTCTCTCTGACTGTCTCTCTGACCGTTTTCGTCCAGCTTATGTATATGTTATCAGGCTCTTGTAAGTTACACGCTGAGAGTTTTACAGCTACATAATCATAAAATCGCACGATCTATGACGCAATTGAGAATTCTTTTTTTTTTCTTGTCGTGTCACTTGTCGCGGCAAAAAAAGACAAATCGGAAAAGAAACATTTTGTCAGAATGTCGGCAACGGTCATTAGACGCATTTTTTTTGTGCATCTTAAACAATTCAACTTTTTATCTCGTCGCGTCGGAAATCCGCGCGATAAAAATTACGAGCTTTCTTCTCACGCGTGATGAAATCGCGTTAAAATCGCGTGAAAAAACCAAACATGATAAATAATTATTTCGCGTGTAAGAGATTATTAATTTATGAATGTAAAGTATTTTGAAGTTCTTTTTCTCTCTCATCGCGCATAAATTCACAGAGATTATCTATCTAATTTTTATCTGAAACACACTTAACCCGAAAGAATTTAAATGAATATTGTGAGAGAAAATATCTCCCAACAATTCCCGTAATTTTAATAACCTCGCGCGATGAAAAATCGCGAGGGGTAATTTTTCTTTTTCTGTTTGTAAAATGGATGAAAACTTTTTGCGCAACACAAAACTAGTTTTTTTTTCATAAGGAATATGAATAAAAATGACTCGCGATGACAAAACCGCGAATATTTATACATATGTAAGCATATAGGGGGAAGTTTTGTAGAATTCCTGTTTATTCGTTTATATGTTTTTATTAGCTGTGAAATGTAGAACATGTTTCCGCAAACTTCTCCTGGGGAAACTTTCTCCGTACGTAACGTTCTGAATTACTAATGGTGAAAAAATTGACGTTCAAAAAAAAAAAAAACAAACAAACAAACAAACAAACAAAATCGAAGTGATCTCTTGGAAATTGACGAATAAAAAATAAAGACGACGTTACGGCGTTAGAAACTCGCATTTTCTTGTTTACTACGAGACTACTTGACCGCCGCGCAGATTACTGGTCTACGTCGATATTCTTTCTAAGCGCGGCAGTGTCGCGTAATGACCACGTAATCACGTTTCGAGTCTCACGTATCCAAAGGGCAGATCCAATTTTCAACCTGCTGAGTAACGTTCGCGTACCGGCGCGCTTCGGATCCAATCCAACGAGCGGTCTCCGTGCAAACGACGGCTGTCATTCACACTTGCCCCATTTAGAAACGCGGAAACCACCGTTTGCGATTTATCGCAAGCCTTTTTCTCTTCATAGGTTTAAATAATTATATAACAACGCAGGAAGGATTCGCACCGACGTTTTCCAACTTGCTCCGACACGTTGGAATCTCCGCGGGACGTACGCGCACCGCAGCACGTGAGCGTTTTCGGAGCGAATCCTTTTTTCTTTCTTTCTCTTTCTCTCTCTCTCTCTCTTTCTGTCTTCCGATGAGAACAGACGCTGCGGAATTCGATGGAGAATTTAATCTAGTCTCGAGCGAAATTGAGGGAGAAAAACACATAAAAGAGAGAGAAGAGAAGAGATATCGACCGAAGAAATGCGCGCGCGTTCGTAATTTCTTCTGGCGGATCATTTTTTAAGCTCCTCTGGGACGGATAGTTAGAGAGCAAAAAGAGCGACGCGGACGTGGCGCGCGAAGGAGGTGGGCAATCGGTCGCTTGCTGTTCCCCCGGGGGACACGTCAAAGACGAAGTTGTCAGAGGGATAGTATTATTTAAATTGGATTTTGCCGATCCTAGGCGACTTCGATTTACTTCGCCCGCGCCATACCGAACTTCGTCACTTTCTCGTTTCCGACGAGCTTATACGCGCCGTCGCTTATTAAAATCTCTCGCAGCTGGAATCGAGCAAATTTCGGAGTGACACTTAAGGAGAAGTGCAACCGCAAAATATCTCAAAGTTCCCTCCTCTCTCCTATATCCGGAACTTTGTGTGTCTTCGAATATAAAAGAAGTTCACAACCAACGTACAAAAAAACGTCAATAATCTCGTGACAATTTTTAAGATGTCTCTCATCATATTTTTGCTCCGATTTCTATAGAATTTAATTCCGTGCTTCTTCCACACACACATACACACATACACACGCGCGCGCGTGAGTATGTATGTACGCGCGGGATTGATCGATATTTAATATTTTTATGAAAAATTTAAACCCATCGTATATAAAGTTAAAACCGAAAAAAGTTTTTCCTCAGAGAGCATCCCGATCGCGAGTGCATTAGAGCGCAAAAACAGCTAAAATATTAGCCGCACGTGGTTGTCGTTCATCTTAATCAAGTAAAATCGAGATTTTCATTTTCTGGATGCAGCTGCGGTGTGTGTGCGGTTTAAACAAACCAAAAAAAAAAAAACAAACAAACAAACAAACAAAAAAACATAGAACACACCAATGAAAGATTGGGATATTAAAACACATTGCGGGGCACATGTTAAACCGCTCGAAATGAATGCCGTACTCAGGTTGCATTAGTAATTCCGATGCAGTCAGTCTTCATCCGTGTGCCTTCAGCGTGATTAAATCCGCGCGCCAATCCATTAAACAGAATGGATTTTGCCGAGTTGATCGCACACCTGGCGCATGTATTTCACGTAACTCTTTTTTCCACATTTGCTGTACGCTACGTGTCAGACGAGATGGAAATTATATGAAATATCGCGCCCCCTCTCAAATGTCGTTCAATATCTTTCGGTTATTGCCGAATGCTGTTTCATTACCGATTTTTCGGTCGTTTCTGACCGAACAATTCTCGCACAGCCGATTGCGTTCCACAACGGTCGAAATGTCAGAGCGCGATTCCCGGTTTCGTTATGATTACATTGTAATTAAATTGAAGTACATGCAATGCAAAACAAACGCGGAGAAATATGTACGCGTACGTATATTTTGCGCCTGTATATTTAATATAAAAAAAATTCTTTAAGTTTCTCACAAGCTCGTAAAATTTCGATATCTTCTTTTCGTTCGATGATACGTGCAAAAAAAACCGATAAAAATGTTCTCTTTGGCGAAACAAATGGCGTCCAACAAGGCGGAAAGTATCATTTTTGCGCCACGCTTCGATGATTACTTCTCAGCTGATCTCTCGTTCCTCGTTCTCGCGACATCTTCGTTCTCTTCTGAAATTAACTGTTCAAATACGATTCGTATTAAAATGCAGCTCAGCGTCGAGCAATCGTTCTACGAGCGCCTTTCCTCGACCATGTTCGGTATATCTCGATTAAATTTTCTTCCCTCCCCTCTTCAAAACCGATTGTAAGGTGAAATTTTTCTTCTACTCGAACCTCGATTTCTTTCTCCTCAACCGTAAAAGATTGCATCAAGGAATTACTCTCTTCAAATAGAATAATAGAAAATCCAACAATTTCCACACACAAAATAATTAAATATTAAGCGTATATATCTAAGGGTTAATGGATTTTCGGTGTCAATATCTTCACGTTTTCTCCCGAAAGCAAAAGCTTTCGTTTCGATATTCTCAATTCTTACGATTACTTATTTTCACGACAAATAAAAGAAATATAAGCTACACGATTCGTCTTTCTATACGACCCATCTTTCTCCGTTTGTTTTTGCCCTCGATAAGGGTCATTTTGCGCGTATGTGTCGTAGAACGTACCACTTGTAGTCACAATCCCAACTTATTTAGCCAGCTGTAAGCACGAATCGCATTCTCGCGCTAAAACCTGCTCGCCGATTCACACACGCGACACGAGATAACACGATGAGAAAGGACTTTCGTTCTTCAGTCCTTTTTTAAGTCAACTAACAAGCATCAAGGAACAAATCCTTTCTCTCGTCTTATCAGTATTTTAGACAGATAAGGTTTCTTTTTTTTGTACAGTGTATACGGTGTTAGAGCCAAATGCTGACTAAGTTAGTCTGACGCATTTCGTTGTTGTTAAGTGAAAAAGACTCTCGGAACATCTGAGAATGTCTGTGTGTGTGTGTGTGTGNTGTGTGTGTGTGTGTGTGTGTGTGTGTGTGTGTGTGTGTGTGTGTGTGTGTGTGTTACAAGTAAAACCATGTATCATAACACTATACAAGAGGTAACATTTATATACGTGTACACAATGAATAAATTAAATATAATTAAAAATTTATATTTGCACAACAAACTTTCTTTCTCTCTCTCTCTCTCTCTCTCTCTCTCTCTCTCTCTCTCTCTCTCTCTCTCTCTCTATCTATCTATCTATCTATCTATCTATCTGTCTCTCTCTCTCTCGGGTTTAATCCATTATATATTCGTAATACGCATTGAAAATATTTGGCGAGCTATTTGCGGATTTCTTCTCGTGGTCTATTTTTGAAATATAATGAACGGAAAAGTTTGTTGTTGCTTTTCAGACAGAGTAAAACGCATATTTTCTCCGTGTTAATTCTACTTTTAAATATATACGCAGGCTTATACATACGTGCGCGTTAGCGAGCTTATTAAAAGCTCAAAAGCCGCCGGTAGTTTTCTACAATTTCGTTTAAATACACGTATTTAATGCCGACGTATTTTGCTCGCATTTGGCGGTGTTCCCGGTAAATAATATGACGTTTCGTCGGAACGTGAAGTTAATGTCTCTCAGGGCCTCAAGGTGTTAAAAATTATTTTATTACATTTGCATAAACGCGTTTAACGCAGATATAATAGTTATTTTTTTAAAGAGAGAGAGAGAGAGAGAAACAAGAGTGTGCATTTTTTCTATAATCTAAAATACTTTCTCTCTTTCTCTCTCTCTCACAATCTCGTGTAATTTCGCGCGTGACGTGTTTGCACATCACAAGATCTCACTTTACTCTCTCTAAGATATTCTTCAACATAATTTCTTTCTTGACAGAGTTCTGTATTTAAGTTTGAGATATAATGGATTAAAGAAAGTGCACTCTCTATGCACTCTCTCTCTCTCTTTCTCTCTTTTTACGTTACGTTGGATTTACGACTCGGACTATTCTTCGACGTCGAGCTCATTATGTGCGAGATGGCTCATGCGAGAGGATTGAAGGGGCGAAAACGACGACGACGACGACGACGACGGAGTTTCGGTATATTTTTACAAAAAAAAAAAAAAAAAAACCGGAAGAACACCGCGCGCGAAGAGAGTCGTGCGGAAAAGTAATTTTGTCCCTATGTACACTCGACTACACGGGAAGAGCGCGCACGCGGATGTTGCGCGCTGAAATCGCGCGCGCTTCTGCACATAATGAAACAGAGGTTACACGGCGCATTCAAATTTCCGAAAGTTCATTCTGCTCGTTGTTTTCCGACCGTTGCATTCTGGCAAACGTGGGCCGGATTGCACGCGCGGCATGAACTTTGCACGTCCTTTTCCCGTCATTTAATTTATTTTATTAGCGCTTTGCTTCTCGCGCGCGCGTATCGCGCCGTGTAACGCGACGCGCCTGTACTCGCATTTAACTCGCACGACTCATGCACAAGAGAAGACAAAAATATATATTACAAATTGCAAGACTTTACAAAAAAAAAAAAAAAAAAGAAAAAAAAACATAACGTTTGACTCATCTGTAGCTACGGTAATACGTGGAAACTAAAATTGCGCGACAATCAAACGTCGACAACAAAACATCGATCCCGTCACTGTGGAAGAATAAGGAGACAGATAATTGCTCGTAAAACTAAACACAATTGATGCGCGCGCGCGCGCGCGTCTTTATTTCCCTGAATGTGTCACGCGAAATTTTACGGTCTTGTCTCTTTCCTCTCCCCTCGCGGAACCGTCATTCCGATAGTATCTCCCCGCAAGGGAGTTACTTCCGTCCCACGAAGAGAGCGTGCTGTCGGTTAAATCACCATCATGATCGTTCATCAACGTGGAAAACGAGATTTCTTCGGCAACCGGAGTAACACGTTGATGCCACAGAGGATTGCAAACCATACGATCGCGATAGCGGTACGTAAGAGAGTTCGAATTTAAGCGGGAGAGACGGAAGACGATGTGTGTGACGATGTTGTTCTATCCGGAACGGATGGGAAGGAGCGGGGGAAGAAGGTTTGTTCTGTCCTACTTCGTTCCCGGATGGCGGATTTTGTTCACTTCTGCTTGCCGCGATCCTTCTCTCAGATCGGATCAGATTACCAGGCACGCCGAGGTGCTCTGCTTCGAGAAATGCGGGTTTCCGTTGCAACCGAATCAGCGACATAAGGGGATTGGGGGTAACGATGAACGCTGCGCAATATACCGGTTTCGTACGCTGCCACGTTTCGCTCCTTTCTCTTTTGCAGACGTTCCTTCCGATTCCTTCCTTCCTTCCTCCTTTTGCGTAACACACGAGGGATCTCGCCGGACCTTCTTCGTTTAGCTTTGGGGGCCGATATACGATTTCGTCTCCGAATAGGATTCTCTCCCGCGCGGGCGAAAACCCGTGTGCGAAAGGGAGATCCGAGAGAAAAGCGATCCTGCAATTTATTCTCTTTCGGACCTCAAGAGGTTTTGGCTGCCTCGCGCGAGAAAACGCTTTACACGCGCGCGACTTAAATGTGAAAATCTTGGTGGATTAAACTCCACGCCAACGTGTGTCGCACAAGTGCTATTTGGAAAATAACTTTTTTTAACAAAGAAAAGAATTATTTTCACTTATGCTGATGCAAATTGCGCGTCTAAAAGATCGTTTAGAAGAGAAAGTTTTTAAGTCGAATTTTACTTACCCGTAACGATGACATTGATTTCCTTAACCAGCGGCGGATGGGTGGCAATTTGGCACTTGTACAATCCCGAATCGCGCGGACTGGCGTACACGATTTGTAATCTCCAATTGCTGGGATATCTGCGAGAACAAAAAAAAGAAGAAGAATAATAATAATAATAATAGAAAATAGCAGGACTGATAATCTCCGACCGACGGAAAGATGAAAATCGTTGCAAAATATATATTTTCTTACGTCATTAGCGCATTCGCGCGATTTGCAATTCAATAGTCGAGTAGAAATGCCAACGAGGAAAAATTGATACTTTATCGCCCCGGTGAAGGGTGGTTTGTTCCACCAATATACGACACCGTGAGCAAAACGCAGCGTGGCGGAACGAAATTGCGGAACAAGTATATGACAAAACCGACTGCGATTTTTACGGCGTATTAAACGATTGATTTCCAACGGGAAAAAAAGAGACGAGGGAGTCTCTCTCTCTCTTTCCCTCCGCATTTATTTTCGACGACGCGATAAAAAAATCAAGCGTAATAATTTGACGCTAACGACGAGATTGCGACGACACGATTCGCCGCTCGCGTGAACGCGATAACGAATTACGCGATAACATTATCAGCAATTTCACTCTTGAATTGTAAATGTGTCGCCGTTGCAACACAACCCCGCCGCGTGTTATCATTATTTTATCTTCCGGGATTTCCATTCGCGAAATTTGACAAGAAACATGAAATGACACAAGGGTCGTTAACTCTCATATTTGCGTTTACACGACTTACCGAAAATTAAGACTAATTCTTTGGTCGTTGCTGTACTGTATTCTGCCCACTGTCAGCAAACGAATGGAGTCCTTGCTATGTTGCAGCCACGTTACCTGCGAACAAGAAAAGCGACGCTGCTTTATACATTATCCTTTGAAAATTTAACGCTCGTGACGGAAATATTAACCGTCTAAGAGATTTTGTAGACGCGCGCCAAATTACGTTATGAAGAACTTCTTGCGCGCGCGCGCACACGCCGGAGGAAAATAATTTCTCCGACGAGTCAAGCGGTCCCTACGTGTCGCCCGAATTAAATTTGTTGTTCGCCGGAAAAGTTATCCCGATGAAAGTCGCCAAGTGTACGAGAAGAACTGCTTTACTAATTCTTAATACGATGGAATTAACAAGGTTTCAACTTTCGCGCGAGAGAGAGAGAGAAATGGCGCGGCGCATGAAGCGCGAAGAACAAAACAAGATTAGAAATTTTTCAACGTCGATCGAAACGCCGCCAATCGGAAACATCGCTAAAATAAATATTGAAACTAATGTTCTTTTTTTTTCTATATAAAAAAAAAAAAACGGTCACTTCTATCAAGGTTTGTAATCGGAGATAATAAATAAAAACGCGTACGCGAGAGAATAAGATAATTTTATTTCCGATTTATAGATTTTATTAAACGTAAATAACAACGTGCTTTGTGTGGCTGTTAGTTCCGTGCGAGTTATTGTGTGTCAATAAAATATCCAATGTGTCAGAGAACATATCGAGACTCTCAATTTGATGTCGGCGCGCGCTCGCGTAATTCTATCACATTAATCTTCAACTTTTGAGAAAGGACATTTTCAAAATAGTTTTATAAAATAGTTTTATAAGTTCAAGGCTCTACAACTTTGGACCGAGACGCGCTTTCCCACGTCTGTGATAAATTATATCAACGTTATAATCGAAGTAGTGCGTCGTGCGAGTAAATAACGCGAAACAGCATGTCTCGATTGTTCTCTCTCTCTTTCTATCTCTCTCTCTCTCTCTCTTCGACTCCTGAAGCGGTCATTTCACTAAAAGGAAACGGACTTGGGCACAAGTGACATTTCATAATTAAGTGTCCCATTCGAGTCGTATTTGCTATTTCCCGTTGCGCACACGCACGCAATACCGAAATCTCATATACATACACACACACACGTACACACACAGCGAAATCAAAGGTACTCGTTTTCTATTCCTCGGTACACCCGTCCCATCGCAATCGGTTTCGCATTACGTATTCCGTGGAATATGAATCTCACGGGAATCGCTGCGAGTCCCGTGTCTCGGGCGAGAGTCCGAAACTTTATGTTGTCTCTCGCCAACGAAGAAGAGCAAATGGACATAGAGAAATCACGGGCCCGAAAGAGGGACCAGAGGGAGGAGATACCGAGAGGCGGCGCTGATTGAAATGCGAAAACTTTCTCAACGACATGACAGACGAGAGAGAGAGAGTGTACACGCGGCGGACACTAACAAACGATGTTTGCAATTATAATCTCGCTCGCAGCTGCATCGTTTCTCATACATCGCGTCTCGCTCGGCTTCGTTGCGCTTTTCCTACAGACGCGCGCGCGATCTAATAAGATGGATCTAATAACAGCCCCGCTTTACGCGCTAATTTCCTTCTCCGATGAAATTTCTCGCGTAATTCGCGCTTTTTAACAACAGCAAAAAATTTTAAATCGGGGATGTGACACGTCGTTAGTCGATTGCGCACCAAAATGCCGCAGAATCGATACATTAATCAATATCAATTGCAATTCGATTATACTCATACGATCTCTCTCATCAGCTAGATCTATATATAAAGCTACCATTTACAGTTCTCGTAGCGCCGCGACGTTCAACCTAATCGATAAAACGAACATATATATATATATATATATATATATTTCTTTCCTTTTTCTCATTCCAATGCGGCCATTTCCAATACGTCGCGCGACGTCGCGACGATCGTAAAGTTGCAACGAAATTCTCAAGTTACCGCGTCTCGCGATTATCCTTCATCGCCTGACAAAAACTCTCTTTTGCGACCGTCAAAGAAATAGTTAACGTTAGGTTAACGTTAGGTTAGAAGCGACACTCACCTTTTTGTCGCCCAGCATGCCGATCTTGCAGTCGAGCAAAACGGTACTGCCGATTCTCGCTGTAACGTTCGTCTCCTGATTGCCGTCCTCGAAGTACGGACCGAATTTCCCGATGGCGCTGTCCACGGTTGGCAAAACGAACCGTCTGCCCGACAGCGTTCTGTGGGTGGTCGGCTGCAGCTGATGGTCGCGACTGCGTTCCGGCGTTTCCAACGTTCTGATCGACGGTTTTATTTCGTAGAAGGCCTTTGTCGACTTGCCGGTTAACAGCAAATTGTTCGTCGGCCTGGATTGATTCTTTCTCGTCTCGACGAGCCTTCTCGTTTCGTCCAGCTGGTCGACGCTCGATTTTACTCCCTGTTGCTGTCGGTTATCCTGATAATCCTCTACCCTCTCTTCGTCCGGTGGCGGTACTTGAAACGAAATTGCTCTGATGTCTTCCACGTTTCTTTGCTCGTCGTATTTCACTTCTATGACGTTTTCTTTCTTCTCAACCGACATAACCGTAAGCCAGTCGGTTTTCGGCTTCTCCATCGCGGATTCGTTTGTTCCTCGTCCTCGTAGTACGTCCGACGTCGCCTCTTCCGCCTGTTCATCCGAGTACTCGATTCTCCTTGAAGCAAACATCGTTACCTGGTCTCCCGTATATTTCTTTGACGTATTGTCGAAATGACCTTCCTCCGTCGTAACGAACGTATCTTTCGTCGAGTTCGCGTAATCGGTCACGAAAGCAATGTGTGTTGTCACATCCTCGAGACTTCCCGTTACGTTATCGTTGCCGCGAAGCAAGCCGACGATTTCGACGCCGCCGGCGCGACTTGTCGCGATCTTCTCGACCGAAAGGCGGTTCTCCTCCTCATCGGGATGATCGATGCCGTCACGCTCGATGCCGTGCTTGATAACGGTGCCGCTTTTCGCTTCTGCGGAGAAAGAAAACAACGCAACCGTGTTACTATATGAGTGTAAAGCCAAGCTCGAAGCGAGTGAATGTATGCGGGCTTGGTGGGCGGGAAATGCGAGGGTGAACACAGGTTCGTCGGTCGTGTCGAGGGTGAATCGACATGCCGGTGAGGCGGAGCGCGCGCGCTCGGCTCCAGAATTTATGGCTTTGAGCAGGAGTAAGGATGATCTTCGGCCAGATAAGGATTTAAATGTGAACGTAAGAAGTGCGGTCGGGAGTTTTATGGGGCATTCACAAGAACTCTCTCTCTCTCTCTCAGACGAGAGAGCCAATAAATGGCCAATCAAAGTCTCAGATCTAAAAATAAGATAAGTTGCTTGGCTTCCAAGACGTAGTTTGCTTAAAAAGTGATGTAGATGTATATTTGAAGAGACACAGAGAGAGAGAGAGAGAGAGAGAGACCCGATGCATCGCGCATTTATCTTGCACACGCGCGTTCATATTTTTTTAACGTAGCGTATATGTAAAATATATTAACATATATGCTGAATTTACATGTTCCACATTGGTTGGATAAAAAGAGCCCGATTGCATTTTTTTAATTCAAAATATTTTCGTACAGCAGTAGTACGTGGGCACGTATGGCGCGTCAAAACAAACCCCCTCCACCTGGCCCCCCCACCACTTCTGGCGCCATCGCCCCACCACGGTGGATTTCCCCCACCACGGTGGATTTCCCCCACCACGGTGGATTTCCCCCTCTCTTGGT